GCTGACAACAAGCTGGGACCACAGTATCCCTGTGGACGCCTAGAATGAATAGTAGATCTTCATCTCCTCACAGCAGCAAGCTCCTCCAGGAGCATTTCAAGGTAATTTCCAGACTAAAATTTGTCCATGCGAAAACAACTTAAGGCATAGGGTGGCTGTGGGGCAGCCGTGGCCACGTGCGGCTTCTGAGCTGCACGACAGCAGGAGCCAGATGCTCAGATAACAGTTAAGCAAAGATTTCCTCAGTTTAGGAATCCTCTCTTCTTAATGTGCAATTGAAGACTCTTCAGGAAATGCAGGTGCCTCTTGGCTTCAGTTTCACGTTCTTGTACCTAGCAGTGCCAGGACAAGGAGACTGTTTTCTACAACGCTTAACTGCTTAGGGTACTTGGGCCATTAACACTTGGTTTTGTCAAGGACAGTTAATCAAACTCTTGCTCAGATTACCCAAATAATAAATTGGAAGTACTAATAAATCACAGAATTTTTAAGATGTGTATAGGTAATTGGTGGGGTTTTTTCTCCATTTTTCAACAGCACATGAATTTTACATTATGAACACATACACAATATGAGAGACTGAACTCATACCACAGCTCTGCTTTTGCAAAACTCAGATGACATCTTCTGGCCAACCTCGGCTCTACAGGTACAAAATCAAGGATTTATTCAGTAACACACTGAAATTGAAATCCTTTTTGTTAAGGAAAACACCACAGAAATGTGGAGCATGAAGCAGTAGTGATGTAAGAGCCACCTCAAAGCAACAAAGACCATTTCAGGAAGCATGACGCAAAGCACACTGAACAAAAATAGGAAAGAGCACGTCAAATGCTCCACCATTGGATCTCAGAACTCCTGAGCTGCCAATAAGCTGCTGGCTGCTCATGTACTTCATCAACCTACAGCCAGGAAGAACCATTTCCAGAGCCAGCATATTTCGGCTGATTTGAGAGAAATATGAAGTCAGAATCTGAACTAACCAACCCACTCTAGAACAAGTCCCTGTAGAATTGGCTCCAAAATTTCAGCAGGGAGGCATAAGAAGTATGCTTTACGACCCACTTACCTGCTGCCTAGGGTTCCAGTACCCTTTTTAAGCCTGCTCATTGACCACACCTTCCCCCTCTGCATTCTTTCTAATTCAAAAAAGCTTGCTATAAGGCAAAAAACATATTTTTTTTTCCTCTTTAAAGTGCCCAGTTAAGTTTGCCTAACCCAAATAAAAAACATAATTATGCTTCCTTTCCACAGTTTCTTGGCTCCTAGTCATCCTTTTCCTCCAAGTTGCTGAAGAGCCTCAGTCAAAGCATTCTGAGAGTCTCTAATAGCACAGGCTCAAAGCCAGACTCAAGTAGACACCCCACAGCTTGTTAGCATGGCACTGTAGTGCTGGCCAACGGGCCATGGAGTTGCAATTAATTAATGCAATAAGAAATAAGACTTAACTCTTACCTGACTGATAATTGGAGAGATTGAATGGGTTCTTCAGGATAAAGACAAAGATTTAGTAAAATTTTAAGTGTTTTATTTGACAGTAATACTTCTTTGAAAGTTAACTTCTCCACAACAGATATAAAGAAGCAAAAGCTTTTTTTATCTTCTTCATGTCACATCATGCTTTGTAACCTCAAGAGAAACGCATGCCTTGGATTCTTACTTTTCTATTTTCTACTGAAGTACTAAGCCTGTGGTAGTAAAGAGCATGTGCCATCAGTGTGACCAACTGGTATCTGACAAAACCACAAGGTGCGCACAGTTGTACTTTCAGTGCTCGGTACAATTACAGCTCTGAACAGAGAACCTCCATTTGACTAAAACAATACCAAAGAACTCTTCCTCAGAGTTTAGATGAAAAAAAAAAAAAATGAAAAAGAAATCTCTCCTAAATAGTTTTCTTTTCTCTTTACCCTCCACTCTCCCTTCCCCACCTTCCTCCTGTCAAAAAAAAAAAAAAAGACAGACAGACACTTGGAATTAATGAAATAAAGTTAAGCCGCAAAGACTAACTACAAGAACACTTGCCTTGCTACTGGCCTGTTGTAATTCAAGAATTTAATCAATGTTTCTATACATGTGTTTGTATGGGGTTTTGCAGTCGTCTTAAGAAAATTACAACGCACACTTGACATGAATGTTACAAGGAGGTTTTAACTGCTGATGAACATATGCATGTGAGCCTATCAAAGTTAAAATATCTTTGTGTAGATTGTCAAATTAACTAGAGCACAATTTGGATATTTTGGCCAGTGAACTCATGCTCCCTCTGCTGACTGGTTGATTTAGTGGAACCTCAGAAGTATCAAGATATCCTTACTTTTATGTATTAACAATTATTTCCATTATAGGAAAACTGCAGAGCTATAAACCCTTAAGCAAACTCACAACACCTACTCAAACTATTTACTTTTACCACATCTTGAACATTTATGCTCTCTGGCCTGAAATCTGTCATCTTTTCATATGAACATTCAGCAGAAAGGATGCCAGATTCCAGTACAGCAATTAAAACATTAAGTCTTTCATCCTTTTAATAAAGATTAGATTTAAGTGTGAAATTAATATTTTTATTTACAAAAACAGGGATCTCCCTCAATATTTAGAAAGAAGTTATCAAAAAAAAAAAAAAAAAGACCCCCCCAAACCTCCAAATACATTATGGAGGCCTGAATACTTAAATAAAAATTAGCAACATGGAATACAAGTTCTGGAGAAAAAACAAAGTTGTATTTCAACCCAAGGTTTAAGTTTTAGGGAAGAATAATTTCCAGGGGACATGCAGTTAAATCCATGATTTTCATTTTAAAAAAAAAAACAAACCTCTATCTATTTTAATGTTATCTTTTTCCACTGTAGGATAATTACAGCATTGCATGTTCAGCTGAGCAAAAACAACATGAAATTAGAAATAGTACCCTTCTTACTGTCAGATGTGTTCCCCAAAACAATCATTATCAATTTGCAGTTGCAGTTACAACAACCTACATACAATAACATATCCAGGGGTAACACTTAAATGACATAGTGCTACAATGACTCTTTCAAAAGATGACCTAGTTTTCACCACTGGGTGGTGAAAAGAACAAAACAGCTTATTTTTATTTTATAACTATATACTGGCTGGTTTGTTACATTAATTTTGCAGTTGCAGGTTTGCTCTCCATTAAAAGTTTTCTAGATTATCTTCTCTAAAAATGCATCACTTCATATCAGCTCTAATATGGTTTAACCCCTTTGTTCCTATATCTATACTGTTAAGTAATTTCTCTATTAAGAGGTAGTCTAGAAATGCATTCTTTTACTGCTTTATGTCTAAATTTCAAACAATGAAGCATGTAACTAATCACACAAGAGGACTTGTAAGAGCAAAAGAAAACAGCCTGCTTAAAGCCAAAAGGGTTTCAGAACGCTGCTGAAGAGAACTCCTCTCCTCACCCAGCTGCCACGTAGGTGGAGCAGACCCCACCTCAGGTTAACACAGCACCCAACCATCACCCTTTGTCTTTTTCTGGCCGATGAAATCTCAGTCTCCATGATACCAGCCTCAAGGATGAGGGCACACTTCAAAGGAAGTTGGACCCAAGCAACAAGAATTTCAGCAACCTCTGTAACATCTTGCACATATGTAAAGTCTTCCTGCAGTCCCTATCACTAACATCCAAGTGTCAGATTTCTTGAGGCAATACTGATATTAAGGCGAATAGACCTACTCATTTCATCTGAAAAGTAGGGCTACCTCCCTCCAGATTGAGTGGCTGGATGTGCTCCGACATGTACCAGATGAAAAAAACCTCAAGAGTAAATTAGTTTTCCAGAATAAAGGTTTTTTTAAGGATGTATTCAGTGACTGCAATTGTAGCACTGAATTACAGGTCAATCCTGAATAGTCAAAAGCATGAATATTTTTTAAACAGTTTTAGTTTCCCTCCAATCAATCTTCAAAAGAAATTATTTAAATGCCTTAAAAAGCACTGAGACTTTTTATCTGGAGAAAAAGTATGCAAAAAGCCCCAAATCCACACTTGCTACTGGCTTATGCACCAAGATCTCACCGACTTAAGATGTTGAGAAAATTTTAAGTAATTTTTCATGTGCTAAACTGCAGAAGAATAGCACTTTTATTTTAAGTGAAATTCAGAAAAGAGCGCAGTATTTTTATCTGCTATGCTACACCCACACGAGTTCTTTCTCGGTAGCAACAGCGGCAAATAGTCCTATATTCCCAGTACACACATCCCTGCAGGCAACAGTTACCGCTGTTCCACTACGTAAACAAGGAAAAGGGTCACCAGAGAATACTGTATGTAAAATTTAAGAAAATACAGCTAATTTGCAAGCTTGGACTTGGCACTCTAGAAAGCACAGTATAATAGAAAATGGCTGCAAAAAACCCCAAAGGATATGTTCAGAGATTAGAACATACATTCATTAGATAAAATAACTCTGCACCTATAAGGAAAACCTGACATCCAAAGGCAAGAATAAGAGTACAATAAAGATTTAACATATTTTGGTGAAATATCAGCATGGCTATTTCTCTCTTCTAACTTAAATCTGAAGAGAAAGGTGCTCTCTTGCTGTATTTATATTTAGATGAATTTCTGAACTTCTGGATCTCTCAAACTTCATTTAAATTACAGTTGGTGGATGTGATACACAGTACTTCATATATCAAGACTTAATAAAAGGGTATATGCTTTAAGCAAGTTAAAACCTTAAATACTTAAGTCTAGTACTGTTAATTCCTAAACAGGGAATCGTGAAGTCCCTTGTGTGTTCGAGCTATGAGCTGTCACACAAGCCCATACACAGAATTAAGAGACTATGCATTCAAAGTTCAAAATAATTGTGGAAGAAAAGATGATTTTGTTTCCTAGCTTAATAAAAAGAATTAGGAAAAAAATGTCTGACAATCCCAGAGCTCTCTGAACAGCCATCTTTAGTGTTGCCTTTACATATACAAAGCCATTTGTTAAAGTATGTAACACTGTTACACCAAATAAAGGTTTGGTAGTTTATTTAATTCAGTTACAGTGCTTCAATAGGATGCAATTCATTTTCCACAAGACCAGAGCCTTTCTTACGCTCCATGCAGCTACAGTCATTCATCTCTCTATCAAGTTGTACCAGTCTCAGTGAAATTTGTCTCATTTGTTCATTTGGAAAGTTTTACCAGTGCTTCCCATGGAATCAGAACTGGATCAGTAATTTTTAGTTCAGTTACATTTCAGTGAACCTTTATCAAAACATTTTTTTCAGTGTCTACAGACCTGGAAACCCACAGAACTTTCACCAAGCTTGCTTCTAGAAAGTTATTTTCAAGACTAATAAGTAACAAAAGGACTTAGGAACTTCCAGACCATAAGACTGATAACAGCTTGTCTACCAAAGAAAAACAGTAATGGTTTCAGTATCAGAGTTGGCTAGTGGTATAGAACAGCAGCAGTGCAAGTCTCTATTCATTGGTTCTATAGTAATTTTCAATTTTTTCCGAATTAAAATACACCACAGTAACCGTGATATCATCTCTGTACATTCTTGCAAGATCTTCAGGCAGTGTCAGCATTGCAGCAAGTTTTTCTTGGTCTACCTCCCCATACTCGTTACTTCCAATTGCATGTCTTATTAAATGAGTAGCTATGTTCTGGTCAAGTGAGGCAATGCCTCTGTTTTTCCTCTGAAGTAACAAGCTGTGCATATAACCCAAATTTACTGGTTTCTCAAAAGCCAGTTGTGGTTTCTGCATATTAAGCTCTGTAAGGTGTCCAGCAACAAGTTCTACAACCTTCTCATTACTTAGCATCTCCCATAGTCCATCCGAAGCAATAACTAGAAACTTATCCTTGCTTCTTAATTTGTGGTATGTGACTTCAGGCTCTGCAGTTAAATAAGGGGGCGTATGGTAGTTTGGAGGAACGTACTGATAAATATTTAAACCTTCAACATCACAGCTATTCTCGAGAATGCTGTGTTGCAACTCTTTACTCCATTTTAATTGCACATCTCCAAAAGCTCTGGAGGGCATGAGAATCCCCAGTAATCTGTCATTCACAAACAGGGTTTTCTCCTCAGATCTAGGATGTTCTCTCTTCAGTCTTCTAATTTCAAATTCATCAAAGGCATTGTGGTCTCGGGTTAGAGGGAGAGTTGACCATGTTCCGTCTTCTTCATGAACCCCTAAAATCGCTCTGCAATCACCAGTATTTGCAACATGTAAGTGAACACTGTCAACGTGAGCTACACAGGCTGTTGCACCAGAAAAAGCTACTTGAAGAGCAATATTTCTCATCAATTCATTTTCCTGGGGAGCCTGAACTTCCAGTGATATGTCCGAGTCTAACCTTTTGAATGCACATATCATGGCTTCTTCTAAACTAAATCCTGGCTCAGTGTCTAGGTCCAGTAAATGTTGCCAGTAAACCCGGAGATTTTCAAAATATTGTGAAGTTATTTCTTGATACTCTACATCATTTGGATGCTTGTGCCACTGCAGAATAGGCAGAACTGGTTTCATGTACTCCACAGCAAGCTCAATCTCTTCCAAGGTTTGCCGAGACATGAGAGAAACCGCTACATACTGAAGCAGTCTCTCACTTACTGCCTGAGCACACGCAGAACCTGCATGACCATCAAAGACTCCAAACATCATCCCTTTGGTCTGCAAGCAAGTGGCTGCACTTCTGCGGTCTTCAATAGGGGTGTTGGATGCCAACTGGTTACTTTCAAACCTCAACACAGAATTTGCATTTCTACCATTCAAATCCAGTATTTTATGGGATAATTCACCCGCTCTGAGTATATCATTGATTTGTGATGGAGACAGCTGGAAAGATAAGTGTTCTTCTTCAGTGGAAGTGTGTCGGAATGCTTTTTTTAAGGAGAAAGTATTGTCTAAACTGCAGCTCCCAGCAGGGTAGAGACGTGTTTTGGAGAAAACAAGCTTCCATTTTATCTTGTTTCTATCTGGGATACAGATGGAGTACAAACGTCCTTTTCCCTGTAAAACAATGCTGTTTCTTGCTGAGCTCAAGATCCAGGATGATACAGTTCTTGACATCATAAGTCACTGCACAAATAGGAGCACCTTCCTTTGGTAACACAGAATGTCCTTACAGTCTGGAATATAAGAATAGGAAACATATAAAATTTAGAAGGTTCATAAGAAGCTTTCTATATAGCAATACAAAAGCAAGTCTAGAGCTCACAGAAATACACAGAACTTTTTTTTTTTTTTTTTCAGAAAAAGACCATTATAAATAGAGGCATCATAAGTGATACAATTTCCATCACTTAATTATAACCTTAGGATATGACTGCCCCTCTCCAGTTAACTCATCAGTAAAGCTAATTTTCATTTTACAGACATGTTTTTCCTCACTGTGGCAAGGCCAAGAAGAAATTCCAACGTTACAAGAAATGTAATTGTAAACTGTACAGTGAAAAGCCTCATCTAACACAACACAGAACAACAGATCAAATAAGTTAGAAAACAGGAACTTAAGTGACAATTAATGTGCAACTTCTAAAAAGCCTGCTCGAGTACAACTCTGTTAATACACTCCAAATATCAAAACCAAGAGAAGATCAGTACTCAGATCCTACAGTAAAACTGAAAGATGTGACAAGTCAATGATTTATATAAATTGCCATGATCCTCACATCTAGAACAAGCTAATCTACCTTTCCAGTCCTCTTGCAGTTTATTAGCTCAACTTCTCCTGGTGTTGGGGGTTTTTTTTTGACCTTCAAGGTCTTAGCCAACCTTCACACAGGCAGGATTTTTTGTGCAGATGAAGGTAGATTCTACTTCTGGTTAATTAATGCATTTATCACAACATTGTGCATTTTGATGCAGTGGAAGTTATAGCACAGTTACACTGACAACTTTTACAGGTTTACATTGTGGCTTGTTCATTTGGAGTATAACTAGAACAAGCCACAGAGTTCTGCTGCCAACAGTGCTAAAACTAGGGAATCTGAACAGCTGAAGTTCTTCAGTTGCTGCGGGGGACGTCCATCATACTGTCTCCTACCTTTAAATAAGGTATTCAAGCTGTGGGAAATTGCTAAGTACAACCAGATGCTTACTCCAAAACAGAAGTTTGCCCCCCTAAATTTCAAACGCTAACTACTACAGTAGCGCTGCAAGTATAATTGCTCCCAAAAGACCATGCTAGCAGTCAGTTAGAACAATACAGCTTTCTGTGAGCTCTGAACCACACTCAGGTGGGCTGTAGCACCATGTGCTCTAGGTCTCAGGCCAAACATGCTACATGCTACTGAAATATTTTTTTTTTAGTAGGGCACTTGATGAGAAATAACAATAAGCCAGACAAGCCAGTTTCAGGAAAATGTTTTTAAGAAATCAGCAGAAGCTAAAAAAAAAAACTTGAACTATTCTAAACAAAAGGTCTACTGATACAACCGAAGGACCTTACTGAAAACCCATTTAGAAAACAAAACAATGTCTCACAAAATATTTCTGAAATGTACCACCCATGCTTAACAACAGAAAAGAGTAGATGAGCTACTCGAACAAGGACCCCACCACTATAATTCTGGGCACCCTGTGAGAACTGTCAAAGACACAGCATAATTTTACTGCTAATGTCAGGAGAGCACATGGAAAAGACAATGCCAGGTCATTGCTCGAAGCTTGCTTGCAGTCTCCTGGGACACTGGCATCTCCCAACACAAGCAACACCTTTTGTTGTACTGCAGAGAGAACACAGCCAAGATAAAGCTAATAGGAAGACAGCTGACACTGCTAACTCCAGCATCAGCTAAAGCCCAAAAGCACCAACAGTGCAACACGAGCCTTTGCGCTTGTCAACCTGTCCCAGGCCATTCCCTGTCCTGTTTTTAGTTCTCTTCCCACTCTTCTGAGCCACATGAAATTGAAACAATAACAACTTTTATGTTATTGATTCAAAAAGCCCATAAAAACAGTGTTTTAAACAAACTTACCCTGTTCACATCAGCTGGCTGAGAGACATAGCAAGGTGGTTGGGTTTTTTCCTAGCGGCAGAGCTGCCTAATACCATTTAGATGCGTGTTTGCCTGAGGTCAGGTAACATCGATCAGTCCTGAAGCGCATTTCTGAACCACTCCCACTCACTGCCTGCAGCTACAATTTTCACATCCTCAGGTTTCTACCCAGTTGCAGTGTGCAGACTCCACTGCTGCCCAAATCACCCACCCGCATCCATCTGCCACTCCACCACAAACCATGCTAAAACCCAGTAGCAGTGCTAATAAAAGCAGTGTGCTAAAGACCATTATGTAAGATCCAATTGCATAAACCTCACGCTCCCTGCGTGGCACACGTACCACTTCAGCACCAAACGCGGCACTTCCTCGTCAGGTGAATTGGTGTAATCATTGAAACACAGATTGCCCCCACAACACAGCCTGTTTGCTGCTGCTAAGTCAGAGTACGTGTTGAGGGTTCATGAGAGAGGAACATCCACCTTTTTCCAATAAAATAACAGATATCGATTACATTGGTTTCACAGCTCCCCCCGGGGCCCCCGCGTACAGGCCCCCACGCTCCCCTCTCGCCCGCTCCCGACACTGCCCACACCTCCCCTGTACAAACACCTCTGACCCCACACACCCCAACCCCACCTCCCCAGCCCCTGCCCCACACCCCCCATCACACGCTCCCAGCCCCTACCCCTCGCACACCTCCGCGGGCCTTTCCCCGCAGAGTCGCCCCACGGCCTTCCAGCCCCCACGGCTCCGTCCTCCCACCGCCCTTTAACCGGACTCGTCAAGTCAGGCCCGACTCCGCACCCTCTGCCCCGCGGCATCGCCCCCCGCCCGGCTCAGCCGCTGCCACAGCGGAAGGGCCGTTGGCCACCGCCCAGGCGAGCCCCAGGGAGCGGCACTCCTCAGCACGGCTCCGCTGGAGGCGGCTGAAGCGCCCGTGGGGCCGGGGCCGCTGCCGCCACTGCCCCGCGCGCACCCACCGGCCGCAGCCGCCTCCACGCGACCCCCACCCCGTCACCTGCAGGTTCCGGGCTCGACGGCGCGGTGCGGGCGGGGTGGGCGCTGACTGACAGCCCCGCCGCCCAACCCGCTCCTCCAACGCCAGACCCGCCCTCGGCGCCCCGCCCCGATTAACCGCCGCGCCGGGGGGCGGTGCGCGGGTTCCCGTCAGGGCACGGCGGGCGGGGTGGGGCCGAGGACGCCCCCGCTGCGCCATGTTTTTTGCGGTGCCTGCCCCAGGCTGCCGCAGCGTCTTCGCTCGCAAACGCGCGCACGGCTGCGGAGAAGCGAGGTAAAATTCAGTGCCGAGCGGCCGCCAGGCCCAGGGCTGAGGAAGGATCCCCGGGGCGGGGCCTCGCAGCCTCCTGGCACCTCAGCCGCCCTGCGCTCTCTCGGTAGAGCCGTGCCCTTGGCTACGTCACAGCGGCGGTGAGGCGATGAGGGCGGCTCAGGCGGGCTCGGCTCTGCGTTTCTCGGTTTCCTGCGTATTTCTAAGCAGGATAATAACATGAGCGATAAAAGCAAGCAGAGATGTGTTCGGGAAAAGTCAAGATCATTTTTTTCTCTCTCCATTAATAAAGTTCAACAAACAGTCTTGAGGAAGGGTCTTTAGGGGTTTTGATTGGTTGGTTTGGTTTACTGCGCTTTTCAGTGCTGAGGCCACCACTTGATGAGGCTCAAAGTCATAAAGCCCTTTTGAAAATAATATGCTGTATAAATCTTGGAGAACAAAAAGTCTCATTTTGCTGTATCCCAGGTTTTTTTTGGTTTCACGTTTCTGCTTGTCTTGGTTGAAATTTCTACTGCATGGTTTTATACTATGTAACAAGACAAGGAATGGGCCCAAAGTGCATGGTGGTTAATAAGTAGTTATTGCATATTAAGGTTTGGTTACTAATTAGTCCTTGCTTTAACCTATAATAGTGATTTTGCAAGAACAGAGACAAGAGGCTTTGTTACTACCAGTGCATTTTTTATTCTCCCGACCTCTTGTACTGAAGCATTTTTAATTTAAAAAATGTGTTGCAGGTATCCTACATGAGATAAATGTGTTCCCAGGTTATCTCAAGTAGAAGGATGCGCATTCACCTCCGTGAGTCTGAGCTTTATTTTTTTCTTGTTTTTATTAACACAGTGAAACATAGTTTCATGTCAAATGGAAGACCAAGAAAAAAAAAATAGGTCACCTTAAAGAAAAATTTCAGGACAATATTTTAGCACACATGAAAAAATTATCTAAAGTTTGACATAATTATTTTGTTTGTTTGACAAACCTGCTGAACTGAAAGAGGTCACCCACAGCAGCCCTTACCTGCATCTCTCTGCTTTACTCCACTGCTCAGGTATACCAACAGCAGTTTCTGGGTCTCAAGACACTCTCCATTCTGACCTACCATTTTTTTTTCAGCTTTTGTACCATTTACAACAGTAATAAAACCTCATACAGCAGTCTGAAAACTAATTTGATGGCTTCGAATTTCCTGTGCTCCCAGCATGTTTAAATGCTTCTCTTCAGCTGAAAGCTATTACTTATTACTCACATGTTCATGCAGTAATTTCATCAACTCATATACATAAGATGAAGTGATTTAGGAAATGTATAAATGAACGTGGAACTATTAACGCTCCTGTAGAAGAAGCTGTTGCTTTCATTCCATATTTCCTAAGAACAGGAAGGAATACCATCTTGAAAGCTAAAAAACTTAATGAGTTTCAGTGTTAATACCCAGTCTTGTCAAGTACTGAGAAATCTAATTGAGATTTAGACTTTACTTTGGAGTGTTTGGTTATGCTGATGAACCAGAGTGATATATAACTAAAGTTTACAAAAGTAGAAATGCTACTCATTGATACAAGAAACAGTATCACTCAAGCTTTTGCAGTATTCTTGCTTTCAGGAATATCTAATTAAAATGGCAGATTTCTCAGGCAACAGTGACTTGGTTGCCATAGTGCCCTATCTTGTTAATTTGCATTGAAAAAATGATGACTTGTTTCTTTAAATAAAACTAAGATTTGCATTTGACTTCCCTGTTTATAGGTGAGCTAAAGTTCAGAATCAAATGTCCTGTGCCAGGAGAAAGTTCTTGCCAGTATTTATATGCATATGAGTCTATTTCCAGGGGCATTGTATTAAGGTGCAGTAATAGGTTAAAATGTAGCAAATGCTATATCTAGATTTTTTTCAAGGTATAATTTTATCTGTTGACTGGTACAGTCAGCAACTCTGATTGTCTTTGCAAATACATTTTTGTGCTCATTTCTATGTTGCTTATTTAGGCCATGATCCAGCTCCCGTTAGAGTCAATGACAGTTTCAGCAGACTTCAATAGCTTTCAGACAAAGTGAAATGTTTATTTGAGTCTAAAAGGTCAGTTTGAGAAAGGTCATTTTATGAAACGGGTTGCAATCACACCACTCATGCACATAGCATCTTTTCTTCTGACCTGAAGTTACTACCTGAGGAGTTGCTAAGCAGACAAATCCTGCCAGGTATTTGAGACATGAGTACATTGCTTAAGTTAGCTCAGCCAACTTATATGTTTGTATGAATGGAGACAAGTGTGAGACTATGAAAGAGACTTAATTAGTTTTACTGTATGTTAAATTTGATGTAATTACTGGATGCTGTTTAGAGATGTAGTCCTATTCTGTCCCAGAACCCAGCTCTTCAGTCAGATTTAGCTATCACACGACCCTACTGCAAGTCAGGCTGCCATCATAACAAAATAATTTTTTCAGGGGGAGTTGTTATCCAGCTCCCTGATAATAATGTGATCATTAGATCAAACGTAGGGAAAGGAGACAAATGTGGAGTGAGGAGGGGTACTGCTGCTTCTAACACCAGCCCTCACTTGGTTTGGATGAACGACACTTGAATCTGTATCCTTAGTCTTCGTGTTTCTGGATATGGAGTGCAAAGGATGGGTGAGCTAGTGCTTCCTTCTTCCTTCATGGTGTATTCTAACAAACTTTTGGAGTTATGATACCTCTTACTGGATGCTTATTGGAGAATTAGGTTTCCAAGACTGAAGGAAGGGGAGATGTATTTCGGTAAGTACTTTGGGGGATTGCCAGAATATTAACAAATTGCTTTATTTCTGCTTATATTGCATACCTCCCATTGCATACAGGGACTTGAAATAAGTTCGGGTCTACTGTTTTGTGATATTTTATACCTTGATTTAATTTTAGATTCTATAATGATCTTAATATTAAGGCCAAAATGACTGTTATTATTCATTGCCTTAGCTATATCAAGTTTTTTAGCAAAGCTTTAAGAATGATTTGAGGAGAATAACTAGCTCAAGATTAAATTACAGTATACTGAAAATGCTGACACTATCACAGAAACAATTGCATTTGTTCTATTTCATCAATTCCCAAAATCTGTTAACAGAGACAAAAGTAAATGACTTTGGGCAGCCTTTGCAAAGCAGACATAACTCAGCAGTCTGGTGGTTTGAATCTTAAACATTTGTTCCAAAAAAAATTAATGAAGTGTAATAGGAGATGCACAATCTTATATACCTGGAGTAACTCCAGTAAGTTACTACAAAGTACCTGAATTATTCAGTGGTAACAGAGAATATTTGCATGGTGAGGATTTTCATACACAGAACTGGAGGTAGGTGTCTGCAAAACTGGTAAGAAGAACTGACTTCTTGGGAAGGAGTGCAGGGATATGTCCCACAGATCATAAAATTTGCTTGAGGGTTTTAGCACTTAATATGCTACTTTGAAAAGAGCAGCAGCCAACTTAACTCTGGGATCATCTATGTTGGTAAAAGAATTCTAGTTAACTGAAGTTCAGGTAATTGTGGTTCCACAGTTACTGGACTCCTAACAACACTATATCACCCTTTCTCTCTGAAAATCCAACACTGTCTAGAAGAACTCAGAAATGTAAGAGGCAAAGGATGTCATATGTATGCATCACTTGGAAATGGCATATGAGAGTATAGTTGATATAGCTCTGATAGTCTGGGATAATTAGGTCTTTAGTTGAAGTTAAGAAACAGCCAGAACTTATCTAGGAGGTGGAAGAGCCATTTCTAATTTTTCATGTCCTTTTACTCAACGAGGTTAATTCTGTCAGGGAAACTTAAAGCTTTCTATCTGACTTTCCTTACACTGATACTGCACAACTTGGGGTTTCCTTTGTTTCCATGGAACATTACGTTTTTTCCTCTCCTTGTTTATTTGGGCAACTGGCTGTGGCTAATTTGGTGCAATATGTGCAGCCCTCACAGCAGGTGCTATGATGGATTACTTTCCACTAACTAATTGATATTCATGAAAGGTGTGGGACTTCTAGCACTTTGTATACATTTATTGTTATGGGGACACACAAAGAACAGAACCATCAAAGAAGCTTGATGTTCCTAAGGAGGCAAGTGAAAAATCAGAATAATATTTCTAATAACTAACAAATTATTTTCTAAAAAGCTGACTAGTAACAAACACAATTTGCATCCAAAGAGAAGTAGTTTGCTAGAAGTCTTCATGAAATGGAGAGAAATACTTAGTCTAGTGATACACATTAGAAAATAGCCATAGCTCCAACCCTTTGGAAACATGCAAAAGAAGGTAGGTAGGTCTTTCGAATGAACTGATGTACTCTGGTACATTTTAGAGAATAAAGATTGAGTCAGAACTTACCTTTGCACAAAACCCACAACAATTTAGCTAACCAGCTTTTTGAAAAGAAACAAATACAATGCTAATCCACAAAACACTTGGATACCTTCCTGCAGAGAGTCTTCAAAAATGTCAGCGGTTTACTGTTTGTATTTTGCTCTGCGTATAGAAACACACATTTCATTTGCTGTATATCATATTTTGAATTTTCACAAAGGGTAAATTAGCATCTTAGATGCAGAAATCATCTCTTCTTATAAACAACAACAAAAAAACCAAAACCAAACCAAAGCAAAACAAAAAAACAACCAAACAACAGAAGATGAATGAGACTGGGAAAAATAACTTTCCTCTAGGTCTGTTTATGCAATTGCATTTTCCTAGTTTGGTTTGAGCAAATTCCAGTCTTTGATCTTCCTATATAATCTAAAACAAATACTCAGATGCTAGGAAGGCAAACAAACTGCAAGAAATGTCAATGAACAGAGGTAAACACAATGAACCACTGCACGAGAAATGCCATTCCAACTCTCCAACTTCATTTAACCTCTGCTGTTAGAGCAAAGGCTAAGCAGTGTGCCTATATATGATGTTGCTGGGGTTAAACTGAAGATCCAGTTCAAGTTAATGTAATTGGACTGGTGCAAAGGCCTATCTAGTTGTTGTCATTGGATCTGACCTCCACATATATCATTTTTACCAGACATTGCTTACAAGCTGATTTAAGTTAAACTGAAATACATATTCAGTTAAGGTTCTGTACTACTGTAAAAGTGAGTTTAAATTCCTTAGGGACAGCTTACAAGTGTAGGAAAGTCTTCTGGCTTGGTATGAAATGCTTATGAGTAGAAAATTAATTATATTCCTTTCTTCCCTCTCCTCCTTATTTCCTGAACAACAGCCTGACTTGACTCCTGAATTGCTGCATTTAATAATCCACTATATTAGTGTGAAATTAAATTAGCTGAAGGTTTCCATCATTATGTTGCTGTTCACAAACTGGGGTGAGAGGCTAAAATGTTACTGAAATCCAAATGTAATGCAAGTAGCAGTATAAATGGAACATTAGAGGTATAAACATTCTCTGCCTTACAGCCATGCAAATTTGGAATAGTTCTGTTAAAGTCAGTTAGGTTTCATCAGTATACCATAGTTTCTTCAGGGTAAATGAGAAAAAACTTGACATTCCCACTCTTATAGGCAGTGTAGAACAACATGCTTTGATACTCAGGGTCTTGACTAAATGGTCACTTATGTGTGCAGAAGGAATTCAGAGAAGAAAACAGCTAATCTGAGGTATAGGATAACATATCGTGGTGTGTGTGTGTGTGCTTCTCTACTTTTTTCCTGAAATACTCCCTAGTTTATCTTTCTGACCTTTTAACGCTACCAAAAGCACCATCTGGTGACTAGGTACCTTGCAACACTTTTCCTGTCATGCTTATATTTGGGTTAATTTACACTCACTATGAAATTTATCATTGTGAAAAACTGCTAGATTGTATCAACTATATAACAGAAAATGCCTAAAATGCTTTCTGTTTGCAGAGGATGGCGGGGGGGGGAGTAAGTTGAACGTTAACTACAGCTATTAAAGTTTAAAAGTTCAAGTTAAGGTAGTGTGCAGTTTACCAGCCAGAGGATATCTCCACTCCCATCAGTAAGAAGAACAAAAAAGTATAACTGATTTATTGAGTTTCCTTCATAAGATTGATTTTTACCTGATAAAGGAGTGTCAGGAACTGTGTAGGTAAAGCAAGCACAGGGATTTCAATTACACTCATCCATACATTTAAAAATAGTTTTTGGCAAATAATCTGTTATATTTTGACTGAATTGGTTTTAAAAATTGTTTTAAGCACTGTGGTAAGAAATGGAAACGGCCACTAGATGGCAATTTCACGCTAGCTTTTACAGTTCTGCAACTTCAGTCACTGTCCTAAATAGGCTGCCCCGTGTTTTCTCTGTCATGAGAGTCGGACAACTCTCTCTCTCAACTGTGATCCTATTACAAGTTGAGCTAAGTCTTGCCAGAGTAGTTAAGATTCAACTGCTATTTTTCCTTCATCATAATTAGAAGATAAGGATAGCATATGTTCTAGAATTTGAGTGACCTTGATGGAAGAGCTTTGCTGAATAATGCTTGTATGCAGAGGAAGACATTTCAGAAGGAAAATGTAGAAAATAAAGTTTCTGCAAATCCTCAAAAAGTACTGATGCATAGCACAGGTATTTAGCCCTATAAATTGCCTTTGAGGGGGACATTTGTACTAGAAGTGCTAGCTAGAATACTGTTAGTTCAGACAAGCAAACTGGTAATAGTGCCTTGATTTGTATGGTCTTATAATTGATTCCTATGGTCTTATAAAACACAGCATTTAGTAAATTGATGGTCATGTCTACCACAAAGTAGCTCAGTTCTAAAGTGGAATTATTAAATAATAGGAGTTTGTACTGTTGTAGTTACCATCTTCTGAGGGTCTCAAAGCATATTATAAATACAGAACACAGTCCTTGGGTGTGATGATCCTTAGCTCATGGATAACAAAAAATAATGCTGGTAAAAGAAATAAAGGTGTTCTTGCTATAAGGCTCTGAAGTTATCTATATTTCAAGCACTATATTAACAAACCAAGAATCTGTATAAAGAATACAAATTAATGATTCCTTGTAGCCCAGAATATTACTAGAACTTTGCTAAATGAGAATCAGTCAAGCTCTTCATGCTACCCCTTCTGAAGAAAACTTAGCTTTTTCCCCACCAAAAAACTTAAAATCACCAATCAGTTTTATTGCTATTTTTGCTATGTTTTCCCAGTGGACTAGTTTTCAGTTACAGTGAAAAGACAGTACAGCAAAGCTTAATCTAACTGAAGACTATACTTTCATCATACAGATTGCATTATTCATTGAGTATACAATAAAATTATTTTTTTCATATAATATTTGGTATATCTTCTTGAGGTTTGCTTTCTCAAAATAAGTGTATTAAATTGTAGAATGTAGTTTACAGCTTTAAAACTATACAAAAATTATGTGTGCTTTTTTCATTGGATTTCCATTCAGGGTTTCAAGAAACAAAGAATATAAAAAGCCTCCTTTTACATTTTGCTTCACCATCGTAAAAATAGATCATATTCTTTAAGCTAGCAACTGAAAAAAGCTGTAGATAAAATTTATTTCTGAAGGAAGGTATAGATCAGTTTCTCCCCAAAACTGAACACCTTGGGGGATTCAGCATTTAAAGCTCTCTAAATTAGCTAAGCTTTTACAATAACCTTGTGAGATAAACATTATCCTTCTATTGTTCAGGAGTAAACCACCCTTAATGAAGCATAAGTACTGTGCTCAAGGTCACAGACTAGACATATGTGGATAAAAAAGATTTTTAAATTTTATTAGAAGTTCTGGCATATAAGCCCCCCTTTACCTTTGTGAAAGACTGAGTGAGCAGAACCCTACTTATATGCCTAGAATGAGAGAAAATACTGAAAACATTGATCAGTGACCAGCTCTGCAGAAGTGCGTACTAGTACTAATGCAGCAGTACTTTGGCAGCTTGATTAACACTTAACCAATATTACTTAACATATACAGCTTAATCAGGAAAGTATTTTAATTTAACCCTAATAAAATATATTTTGGCTATCAAATATGTAAGGTTCTTCCAAAAGACTTCTTACATTTTAAAATTAGTCTTTGATATAGGTTTTAACAAGAACATAAGATACATTACAATAATTTAACTCTGGGCAAAATGTCATTCAAGATGGACAAAATACGTTAGAATTTCTTGAGTGAAAGGATTAAGCTGAAGGAGAAACTTAGTCCCAAAAGATTGGATGAATTGTGGCGAAGACTAAAAATAGATTTTAAACAGGGGTATGATTTCTAGAACTTTTTTTAAAAAAAAAAAAAGCGCCCAGAAACTTGGAAGAATTAACTCTTATCTGTACTTCAATTGTTCTGCTATAGCATAATCAAGGTTTCTATGAAGCTGAAGATAAACAATCAAAGCATTCCTTAATCCAAAATAGATTTATCAGTTGAAGATACCAAACAGTATTTCTGTTAATGAAAGTTCAAGTGCTGCACATAGGGAGAGATAGGTCTGTACAAAATAAAGGATGAGGAGATGCACACTAAATTCTAAAGTCTCATTTAATTTGTTAAAGAAATTAAGATACATTAAATAGATTTTTCTGCCATACAAGTTTGCATTACTATCAAAGTTACATTCATAACAGCTAAAGACATGGCATTTTGTCATGATTTTGTTTCTTTAGCAACTGCTGTATAAGAATCTCACATCTAAAACAATGCTGAATTAGCCCTCACAACATCCCTGTGAGGTAGGTCAGTGTTACCCTCCTTTCATATAAGGGGAAAATGAGAAACAGGAAATTTTAGGTCAATGTACCAGAAAAACTGTAGAAATTTTACATCTAGAATTCTAGTCCTACATTCCTTGTACCATGCTTCACATCTACCATCTTTCTCCCTTTCTGAAAAAGTAACAGCCCATAGTAGCTGTTCTTTTCCCCCCTGCTTTCCTTCACATTGTACTACTTTGATTTCCCTAAGCTGATGAAAATTGATAAACATCAGTAATTTCTATTTGAACTCTACAGATAGAGTAGAGCATTTGAAGCCCAGAATTAAAGTGACTGAAAATAGGCTGTGGGTGGTTACAGATAACATCACTGTATTAAGTACCAGAGACATAAGTCTCAGTTTTGCCACTGGGCTGCAGAAGCAGTAATACTAACACATGGTTTTTCTAAAGCAACTTTCTTGTGAAAGGTAAAAGGACTCAGGACTGATAAAACCTTGTATCTGAATGGAGTATCCCCCAACAGCCTGCCATAGCAAGGGGATGATTTGTGCAGCAATGCACATTCAGTGCAGTCAAAGTCTACCCATGTTCGGTCCCTAAAGTAAACAAAATATCTACTTTTTTAGGGCAGACAATGACAAAAGTTGTATTGCAGAGCAAATCACTTAACTGAGGTAGAAGTTGAACAATTGAGAAGCACAAAACACATACCTGAATTGCTATAGATGTTCTTTCCAACAAAACTGACAAGGGCATTATAGCTGTGTGCTGCATGGGCTAGAAGAACAAATGTCTGAATAACACTGCAAGAAAATGGCCTGCTTTTAAACACAGCCTTTATAAATCATTTAAAATAACAATGTAAAATAGCATCCTGGACCAGTAACTTTAAAGTATGTATGTAGTTTTCATACCCGTGCCTAACTTGAGGTGAGTAAAGAACTTTCTAGTGCTACTCGTCCACTCTAGGTGTCCACAGCAAGAATACAGTGAAAGCAGTCTTGAAATCAGACAGAGCTCAGCAAATGCTAACAAGAGATTGGTAAGGAAAATATAAGTCACATTTGTCCAAAATTCTTAACTACTGTTTCATCATGTATTAAATAAGACAATTAGAAGTTGTAGCCATCAGTACTAGTAGATCGTTACATAATTTCCCACTTTTTATTAAGTGGTATTTTAATTTCATCTTAATTTTTAGAGTTTCAGGTCTTGGAGAACACTGGTTTACTCAACTATTCCTTATAATAAAAAGTGCTTGTTAAAAAGATACCATTTCTCAAAAGAATAAGCAATTCAAAATATAAGATCAGAAGACTGTCCCCCTCCAAGCAGAGTGTTCACAGAAATGGCTACTTTGTGTGTTCTATGAGTCATCTGAAGACCAGGGTTTCTGTTTATACTATCTCAGATGTGGAAGCTCTTGGATATCTCAGGGCTATTACCAGTTTTCTTCAGGCCTTGAAAGAAGCTCGAACTACTCTTCCCTTAAGAGGCTGAGGAGGGCGAAAATTATTCACCATTTGGATCCTCTGGTCTTCCTCACTGGTGAAGAGGAGCATGCGAAATTTCTCCAGCTGTAAATTCAGGTGAAATAATTTACTGCTTAAGATGGCAATCAATATTATTTTTTTTTTTATAAAGGACCAAAGGAAATTATTCTGTACATTTTAATCTGTTAATAGAATGGGTTCAAGCAAAGATCCTAGAAAGTATTAGCAGAAAAAACAGAAGCCCTGATTACTGAACAGGCTGATTATTCACAGGCTAATGGTCTTTTAACTTAGCCCCATTATAAATCAAAACAGTCACTGCCTGTTTATACAGTGTTGAATCCTACCAGAACTGAGAGAGTATCAAAAGTTTACCTGTTTCTCAGAAATTCTGATGGGTTCTTTCAGCACTATCCATGTAACACTCTCATTAAGGGGTGGTGTTGTCAGAGAACCAAGGTATGTCCAATAATCTAGACTCAAAGGCAGGAGACATTTGGGGTTGAAGCTTCTAAATTGAGCTTTTGTTCCCTGGAGAAAAAGATACTTGAAATCTATCTTTTTACTTTTAAGTGTAAGTTAGAGAACTATTTTTGAAAGAGGAAAAAAATGCTAAAGTAATATCAAAAAGTAGGGGAAAGGATAAATCTAAAAAGGTTTGGCTGTGTTATAACAACTGTTACCGAAGAGTAGCATGGCAAGTGGATGCCTGCCACTGGCTTACTGGACTCTGAGTTCTTGCCCCATTGCCTTTACCAAAGTTCAGCTCTTGTGACAAAAGGTCTAAAAGTAATGCAGGAAGTACATTCTCTATATAGTGTTCAATGTCAGCTGTAGATAGCATCATGGCAGGATTCCTTCTCTCATTACTTGCTATTTTCTATGCTTCCCATCTATTTCAGTAGAAAATTTGAACTATGGAAAACTTGCCCCCAGACAGTCATTGTCTGCTACGACAAATACTGGCTTTAAGAATCACAAGTTCAAGTCTAATTTTAGAGGAAGGTATATCAACCAAAAAAACAGTAAAAATAGAAGGAGGTGCTGCCTAAAGGAGTGATTGCCTTAACTAACACAGTCTAGGACAAGTTTTTTCAGCCTCTAAGAGTATCTGAAATGTACTTCAGTCACTCAGAAAGCACTGTCCATTTATCTATAAAATTGCTCATAAGGAACAGAATGATCAGCTTATCACCAGTGGCAAACCTGCAGACTCTTCATCACTACAACTGAGGGATAACTATTTCTTTCTGCAAGTGGAAGAAATCACTTAAAGTACCATTTAGTGTGTCTGCAACCTACATAGTGTTGTGTAACTGCCTTTATTTCCTGTTTTTCACAATTCTATACAGAGAAGCGAGAAATAATATACCTATTCAAGTATTAAAAATTTTGCATATTAGAACTGATGCATCTTATAGAATGCACTAACCTCATGTAAATACAGAAAGGATAACATTTGTAGTGATTAATCAGTCTGCGCTTGAGCAAGTGCAGCAGGTATCTTCAGCAAAGCTCTCAAGATACATCTGATTAAAGACCACCTTCACATAACACCGTAAGATTAGACTAGCTCAGGACTTCATTAAGATTGACCCCTGACAGAGCTTTGCAGCAGAAGACAGACAGACAGTTTTGACTTTTTCAAGGCTAATCTCAATGGAAAATTATTATTTTGCTGAACATAAGAGCTGAACCTGAAGGGTCAGTGAGCTTTTGATTTTAGATACTCTGGGAATGGTAGAAGCTCTGAATGACCAGTGAGGTCATTATAGCCTTGGGAGGCACCTGAGATCAGGCAAAGAAGTGGCAAGGCACTGGCACAGGTTGCCCAGAGAAGCTGTGGCTGCCCCCTCTCTGGAAGGGTTCAAAGCCAGGTTGGACACGGCTTGGAGCAACTTGGTCTAGTGGAAGATGTGCTTCCCTCCCTCCCATGGCAGGGGGGGTTGAAGCTAGTTGATATTTAAGGTATTTTCCAACCCAAACCATTCTATTCTATGAATCTATTCTAAATAAGATTAACTTTGGAGGGGAAGAGGAAAATGCAACTACAGTGATATTCTAATGATGGGAAGACTTGTGATGGGTGATTTTCCATTTTTGTCTCAAACACGTACGTGAGCTTGATTTTCAAAGAATATCCCAGGAACAAATTAATTTAAAGAACTTAAAACTTACTTTAAATTTTACCATGTACAAAGCATCCGTGAGTCTGTTCATATTGGCATGTTCTTTCCCAATCTAAAATAATAGACAGGTTAAATAAGAATGACACTATAATTATGCTTTGAATAGGTGTTGTTTTCTTATCTGATTCTCAGCATTTCTACTAAAGTAAGTTTAACAGCGATTTGCAATGAGTTACTGCTTCCAATAAGTCATCTGTTTTCCTTAAGCACTTAAATGTGTGGCTTGGTTCTCAAACACTTGACAGCATAATGCTTTTCATCATGTAAACTTGCTATTTTTGTGATTCTTACCTCCAAGAAAACACCAACTACTGCCAAGCCATCTGGAGCTGCTGCTGCTTCTCCAAATGTTGCATATTTTCTGGCATTCCAGTGAACTAAGTGGAGCTTTAAATCAAAAATAAGAACCAAACAAATTAGTGATAGAAGCTGTGAACATAGGTTGTCTCATGTTAACAGGCACAAATAGTCGTTCATAACAGAATGAAGGTCTGATAGAGCCAATCCCAGCTGGCTTCAAGATGGACCCACCACTGGCCAAAGCCATGTCAAATAGCTATGGTGGTAGCACCTCTGGGATAACATATTTAAGGGGGGGGCAAAAAAACAGTGCAACTGCAGCCAGGAGAGAGGACAGAGAATGTGAGAGCAAGCACCCAGCAGACACCAAGGTCAGTGAAGAAGGAGGGGAAGGAGGTGCTCCAGGCACTGGAGCAGATTCCCCTGCAGCCCCTGGTGAAGACCATGGTGAGGCAGGCTCTGCCCTGCACCCATGGAGGTCCACGGTGGAGCAGATCTCCACCTGCAGCCTGTGGAGGACCCACCGGAGCGGGGGGATGCCCGAAGGAGACTGCGACCCCGTGGGAATCCCACGCTGGAGCAGGCTCCTGGCAGGACCTGTGGCCCCGTGGAGAGAGGAGCCCACGCTGGAGCAGGTTTGCTGGTGGGACTTGTGACCCCATGAGGGCCCATGCTGGAGCAGTCTGTTCCTGAAGGACTGTACCCCATGGGAGGGACCCATGCCTGAGCAGTTTGTGAAGAACTGTAGCCCATGGGAAGGATTCACATTTGAGAAGTTTGTGGAGGACTGTCTCCCATGGAAGGGACCCCTTGCTTGCGCAGAAGAAGAGTGTGAGGAGCCCTCCCCCTGAGGAAGAAGGAGCAGCAGGAACAATGGGTGATAAACTGACTGCAACCCCTATTCTCCATCCCCCTGCACCACTGGGTGGGAGGGAGTAGAGAAAGTTGGGAGTAAAGTTCAGCCTGGACAGAGGGGAGGGGTGAAGGGGAAGGTGTTTTCTTGAGATTTGGTTTTATTTCTCATTATCCTACTCTGATTTGATTGATGAATTAAGTTAATTTCACCAAGTTGAGTCTATTTGCCTGTAACTGGTGAGTTATCTCTCCCTGTCCTTATCTCAACCCATGCGCCTTTTGCTACATTTTCCCTACCCTGTCCAGTTGAGGAATGATAGAGTGGCTTTGGTGAGCACCTAGTGTTCAGCCAGAGTCAACCCACCACACAGCCTTAGTCTGAAACAAATCAGACATTAACCTGTGACCTAATTTTCCTGGTATAGGCCTTCATCCCATGAAGCACTATGCTCCAGTACTCACTGGTATAAGCAAGTACTCACTCCCAGGTGATACGGCACCATAGTATGTGGGATAGATTGTGCTGGAACAGGCCTGTGTCTTGTCCTAGCTTTGCAGAACTTTCTCAAGAGCCCTCAGGTGAAGCCATTGACAAGCCATGGATAGCAGCAGCATGGTTGTTTAATTCTCATTAAAGTCTGTGTAGACATAACCATGGTGAGTAAGCAATCAAAACCCTAAGGGACATCCAGTCCCCACTGCACACAGTCATTTGTCAGCAGTTTTTGCATGAATTGATCCCATTTGTAAAAATGCATCATTACCTCACAGGGAAAAGGTTTGCCATCGATTGTATGCTCTGATCCTTGGCTGTGCTTTGTCCCCCAGTGAAAGTGAAACTGTTTTAACCGAAATGGATTCTCAAAGGGACCTCCACTGATTGCTAGGCAGGAAAAAAAAAAAAAAAAAAAAAAAAGGAAAAGGCTTAAGCATTCTGGCTTTAGCTTCCTGTTAGTAAGTAGTAACTACCGTTGGCACAATAGTGGAAAAAAAAGCCATCAGCATCTCCCATTTGCCAATATGGAAGAGATGTGCCATCCAGACACTTAGAAGGGTTGGTTTTCTTAATAGAAAACACTTGAATGAATGTAAAAATTTAAGTTAAAAACATTGAGTGGCTACTTGTACAGAAGTCTGTAGCTTTGAGAGACTGTATTTGACATGTGATAGTCATTGTTACGGTTTTGCCTTTCCTGTCAAACACAATAAATCCAAGTTGAATATTAAAAACTAAATCACAATTTGAAACTTATGTACCTAAAATATTTGACAGTGCTACTTGGGATTTTGTGCAAAAAAGCATAAATACCTTGAGTGCCAGGTCAACAATTCAGCTAAGTATTTCCTTTTTAGAGCTTCTTCACTTCCACTGGAGTTTATGTATATTCTATTTCCTTTAAATACCTGATCCCATAAAAGAGGTAATATAATAGCTTGTACTCTAGACAACACCATTCAGAATCTCAAATCACCTTATAATGGTGAAGAAATGCTACAGAGAAATTTCATACATCATTTAGAAATAACATTTAAGAACAGATGAATGTTTAAGATGGCACCTATAGAAGATACTTTATCAACAGCATCAGTGATCCTCCTGTAATTTTACATGGCACTAAAACAAATAAATTTTGCCCAACAGACATGAAAACCTGATCAAAGTCTTCTATTAAGAAAATTAAAATTACATTTAGCATCTGTAAAGCACTTAGGATAAGTGTAGTCCATAACATTTCATTTAAATAACTGAAGCTGGGGCTTGCACAGTGCTACCACATGTACATAGTTCCAGTTGGCCTCTATGCAGGAAAGTGGCTTTGCCAAAGCAAAGATTTTAATATTAATTATCTCCTAGTATGTTTTTCTGAACTTAGCAATGGAATACATCACCTGTCGCAAATATTATTTTAAGAAATCTAGCTATGATAGGTTACTGTCAAAATTCTGTTGTGCCATTTATGCAGAGCTGTGAGTCACTAGATCTATTTCAACACAACTAAAAACACTTTAAACCATGTTTTCCACTCCTAGCAGTCTTCTTTCCTGAAAGTGTTATTAAAACAAGGCATGTGCTTAGTGTAGAAGGGGCATAGGTCTTCATTCCTGCATGTGCTCTGAGTCTGTATCTCTAAATACAGAGTGATAGATGATGATCTTAAACTTCTAAAGCTGGATAAAATACACTGTTACATAGTTACAGTTCATCTTAGAATTGCACAAAAGTAGTTAGCAAACTTCCAGATAGATTTTACAAATGCTCTTTGTAGGGCAACATTCTTAGTGGATCTGCATAGTATGATTTTGGAAAACGCACATCCAATCTTCTCAAATTCACTGAAGATGCTTGAAAATCTGACCATTCCATTGGGTAGTTTCTTTGATTCATTCCAGAGGAGAATTTTTAAAACAAAGTGGCTGGAATTTTAATTGCCAGCCCTTTTTCAAATTGTTACCAACAAGTCACTTCACAGAAAAAGTAACTTGTTTTAAGTATCTAAAATACCTGATTTAGCTATAATCAATAAACACACCCAAATGGAAGATGAAATCAGCTGATAGGTTTAAAAATTGTTCAGCGTGGGTTTTTTTAAATGAACTCTTTCCATTTATCAGCTACTTTATCATCTCCATTTGAATGTTCTTCCCCTACCCACCAGGTATAAAAGCAAGGTCTACCATCAAAGTAGAATTAACAGAAGTGATCAATCACTTAAAGCGTTTATATTCTCTGCCAAGAGCTAACAGACAAGAATAATCTACAACGGCAGATAGTCCAACATCTACAAGCTGCTACAAACTCAATTAGCTGAAGACTTCAGAATTTCTGAAGAAACTGAACTGCTATGAGGCAAGGAGAAAAGAAGAAAACAATGCAAGGTAACAGATACAGCTTGGTGTAGTGTCTATGATTACGATGACTACACTGTATGATCCGGTCTCCGCTACTCATCTTCTCTTCCCTATCCCTGTGGATGGAAACTGAGCAGTGAGACAGAGCTGGCATCGGTGTCAGCATCTTTGATTTGGATGATAATGGAACCAGGGCAGGGAGTGATGTGCATACCTACTCTGCATGCTGGATGTCATCTAGGAGTACTGGAGAGATACATGGATTTCCTGTCTAGCAAAGTGACAATCCCCATTTAAAAGGGAAGCACCTGATTGTCCTGATGCAAGAGCTTTTCCTAATCCAGAAGCACTCTAATGTGAAATATTGCCTTGCTGGAGAGACTCAAGTGACAGTAAGAAATGTGAGGCTCAAGATGACAAAATATAAAGGGTCATGTTCTGGTCATACACTTTGTTCTAAACTGAAATTACACATCATATAAAATGCACTATACAGGATGTAATTAATTGTTTTCCTTGCTAAATCACAAAATGGCATTTCAAGTTAGTTGGCTGTATGTGAGTCTCACCTGTCTTGTCATCAGTATCTTCAAACTCAACCATAACTGAATGGCCGTTGTTGGAGATGTCGAGAGATGTACATGATTCATAGGAGATAACAAGTGGCTTCAGGTTAGGGTCATAAACTGCTCTTGCAGGAACTATATCAATAGGTGACTGGCGGTTCCCTTGGGCAATAGGAAAAGATTTGTGCCACTCTGAGGGTCCTTCAGAATGAAAGGAAAGCACCATTATTTTCTTCCTACTATACACAAAATAATAATTACAGGTTTTCGTGAGGCTTAAAGTAAAGCTTGCTGAGCTGGAGCGACTTGAAAGTTTGGTATCTGAGAAATTCACTTAAATTCTAAGCTAGTGTGTTTTTATTAGCACAAACAGGCTTCAACAAATGGGGGATTCAAATATCTTACACAAAACACACTGAGGAAATCACAGCACATCAGACTGATCTTCAGTTACTTGTGCCACCAATTTTCTGTGGCGTTTAATTACATTGCTAAGGTACCTGAAAACCTTCCAAGGTGAGTGCAGATGTAAACACACTTGCATGCACACATACACTAGCCCAAAGAAACAACATTTAATTTTTCCTGGAAAAGCTAGCGCAAAAGCTCCAGTGATTCAAATTAGATGCAGATGACTCAATCTCTTAGCTACTGACTATGCAGTTATTTTTAAAACCATTTTATGACTGCAGTAAATCTTTGAGGCAGCTTCATTCTTCACTCATGCCCATTATAGTGTATCTCTACCCTGAGTGAAGGGTACAGTGTGATAATTAACACTTTTGGACTTCCTGACCCCAATAGTGGGGAAAAAGACCATTTTAATAACACAGCATTCTGCTGCCATAACTGGAACATTCTTATGCCATTTGAGATAACAAAACCTAATCTATATCAAAGAATTACTTATTCTTACAACTTCTTTTTCTACTTTGGTATGTTAGTGCAAGAAGCAAATTCTTCTACTGCTTATGTTCATAAAGTATTAGCAGTAAGAATTTTACTTTAAGATTCTGAAGAAGCACATTTAACTGTAGCATTCTCGCTTTCGTTCACAAGTGGAAACTTCTTTTAATCAAGCTGAGGTATTTACCCTCCTTGAGTTTACATGACAAAATAGTGATCTATTATACTCTTATTTGTCTTTGACATTTTCTGAAAAGCTAAGCTTATGAAATAATATCTTCTCTCTGCCTGCCTGTAAAGCAGATTTAGGATTTAAATGCTGTTACACAAGCTTAAGCAATAAAATTTGTCTCTTATAAGCTTCGTAAGAATATACGTGGCATTATTATTACTACCTATGTAACCAAACACATATAAAATTTATCTAGTAGCACTAACCATCATCACGTAACATCCAAACTTGCTTTTGGACTCACAGAAACTAAATTAATTGCTGTTAAGAGAAACTGGCTCCTGAAGGTTACGCAAAAGACTCTTGTTGGACACTCAGCAGCTAAAATAATTGCTGTCAAGAGAGAGACACTCCTGAAAGTTATGCCAAAGACTATCTTATTGGACAAGATCAGTCACTCATCCATCCTTCTCTGTAAAGGGTACAGGTGCTAGAAAACACTATTGTAGGAATCTTTCAGTAGCTTCACATATCCTCTCATGCTGTGACACACATTCTTGGAGGTGGGAAGCAAAGGAAGATGACTAAATTAAAAACTTGTCAAATCAGAAAGCATAAATTGTTCTGTAAGAGATCTCTGATACTGATCTGTATAATTTATTGATATTCTAGAAATAGATAACATGTATCTTACTTTATTCACTTCTATGGAAGCCTAGATACCACATTTTAACAGCTGCACCAGATCAGAAGATCTATTACCACTCCACTAAATCTGTTTTACAGAAAAGCATTGCTTTTGGAGAGACAGTCAGTCCTCTTCAAAACAGCTTTTTGGAAAGGGACCCATCTGTAATATCTGCAGCCTGAAAAAAAAAACACTCAGTGCTGCTTCCCTCAGTTGAGGAACAGCGATTGCAACAATGAAAGGCAGCAGGCGTAAGTTTGTGCGTCTTTTAATGCCACTTTCTGGATGCTATTTATTATCAAGAAAGTAATTAATTACCTGCTGTATATACTTGATGGTTGCAGACATCGAAATGCAGGCAGCTCTGAAGGGCTCAGGCAACAGTTCTAGAAAGAAAACGAGTGGGGGAAGACAGAGATGCAGCACGGAAATGCTATAACCTACCGTCATCCCGCCCATATCCCCAACTGTGGTGGCCGGTCATTACAGGGAGCGGCACCCCACGCTGCTGGCAGCTCCCGGAGCAGGGCACTGCTGCTTACCTGCCTTTATAACGGCTCCCGTGGGATCGGGTCAGCCCCTTAAAGATACAGAGCAACCGCAGCAGTTCCTGCAGGGCAGGGAAAGCACCCGCGTTCCTCCTGCTCCCGACTTCACTGCTCCCGCTGCTGCTCCATTTGCTAACTCAGCACAGGAGAAGAAAGGTAAACCCGAGATCACTGAAGTCCCAGGGCTTAGAGAGGAACCAAGGCTGCTCACGTGGCATGGGGGATCAAATTTAGGAAAAAAGTAGTAGTATTTTCCCCTTCTGCACCACAAGGGAGCAAGAGCCATAACCAGCTCTGAGCATCAGGGCACGATAATGTGTGCAGATTGTAATGAGAACTGCCCTCTCGTTTTGATGTTCTGCAGGGAGAAACATCACTGCCTCTCTTCGCGTAAATACTCTATCCAGCCGCAAAAAACTAACGTTGTTTCCACCTGACTTGTAATGAAAACTTCAGAATCAGTGCTTCAATGAGATGGAGAACATTCTCATCTCAGAAAAAAATTACTTGTGCTACATTTAAACAAAGTAAAAAATCACATCAATTAAGGATAAATTGGCAATCTGCTTTGTTTCTTCTTTGTAATTAAAGAACCTTTTTTAAAAGACAAAAATAAAATTGTGGTTACATTAGGGAACAGAACACAGCGGACTCTAGAGAAAGGATCTGATCTGTAAAGCCTCAGTTACCTAGTATGATCCAGTATTTACCTGCACCCTGCTAAAGCCATGAAGAGGCTACAGTGAGATACCCAACCTGCGGCTGTAAAATGCCTTCAGACATCTTTACGGCAAGAGAAATTTCTCCTTGGTAGTAATTTTGCCAGATCTGAGGAAATGCTGTCTGTCAAGGCTACGCTTTATAAAAATATTGATTTTCACAAAGACAATACCACGCAGAAATAGGGTCTCTATTACACAATCAAGAAAATGGAAGGAAAAAAAATCAATGAAAGCATTTTATGCAACTTCTATATTGTGGTACTGCCTTGTAAGAATTAATTTCCTTTTTCAGAAGCTTTCCATAAGATTCAGCTATAAACCTTTGGGATTCTCTTATGCAAGCTAAATCACTCAATAAGGCATGTAAACTGCTGTAAAAGTGTCCACAGAGTAGTTCTACAGTGACGTACTCGGGTCAACTTCTCAATTTATTTCTGTTAAACTACTGTGATCTATTCAGGTCCCTGCACAGGCCTGATACATGTGCTGGCAGGTGTGTCTGTGGCCAAAGAGTCTGCTCACACAGGTCCTCATGGTGACTCTGGCACTGGAAGTAGTACAGCAGTGCTGCCTTTGGGTTAAAATACTTTGCTGCTTAGTAGGAAATTCCAGTGCTTTGGCTCTCACTCTTGTGTGACTCCATGCCCTGTTTATAGACAGGGAAGCCAGATGCAGACAGAGTCAGTCAAATGCAGATGGTCAGGAAAGCTGTTCTAAACCATAGGAAAAAGTAAAAAAAATACCAACTTAAAAATTAAAAGAAGAAATGGAAGAGGAATTTTGTATGTGAAAAAAGCAGACTATAGATTGTGAAAAAACGTATGCAAGATAGAGAATACTGAGCAACTGTTTTCAAGACAAACTTGAAAACTGAGGCTTAGATCTTGCTCGCAGGGCACAGTGCCACTGAAGGGGCCCAACATCTACATGCATTTGACTCCATCACTTCAGCTTTTATCTTCTCACATTCAAAAACACATAGATGTCTACAGATGTGGACTGAAAAGGGAGGGCATAGGAGGAACTCTGACACAAGAGTCTCATGAACAGGAAGACTTGGCAGGAAGTGGACTCCACAAAATGGAGCTTTAAATGGTTGGATTTAGAAAAAGTAAGAAAGGGGAATGACAATACCTGAAAGAAAAAAATAGCTTGGATAAAACTTTCTCTATAAATGATAGCCAGTGTGTATAAGAAAGTTTAATGTGATCCCCCATCCAGTCGGCCTTCTTTCTTTTTGAGGAAAATATTAAATTTTCCTTAAAGCTAAGACAAGACTGCTTTTTATACAAATATCACATTATTTTGTAACCATGATGCCTCTTCATACTGGCTGCCTCTAAGAATGGATTTTCACTTATTCTGTCCTCAAATGATCATTTATCACGTCAAAAGTTGCCATAGTAATTTAATTCTGATCTCAATTTTACTTGCTTGAATTGAGGATAATTACATCACACTCATGAACTTATGGAAGTGAGAAGAGTGGTAGGTGCTTAAAGGGTGGATTTCTCCAGTGCTGAGCCAATAGTGAAATACTCATGATTTCCACAAATTTCTCACGGGCTTTGACTACATCTCAGAAGTGTCTGCTTAGCAGTGAATGACAGGATGACATAATTCCATCCACTACAGTGAAATGTTTCTCGCTACTTTAGAGAATAATTCCATCTTCCCCAGTCTTCATACTTAGGGTTTTATTCCTCTTTGACAATAATGATGAGTGAACAGCAGCAGCCTAGGACAAATACATGGGATCTTCTTCCGAACGTGTCACTATGTTGTGATACTGAACTAACAACAAACACTTCAGTTTTCCCATCTCTCTATATGGAATAATTTTCTCCCTTTATTAAGATTGCTGTATAAGAACTAACCATTACAGTTAGAAAGCGCCAAGTTAAGACTGGAATGCCAAATAGAAGTTGAACATAATTTTAAGCTTTGCAGGTCTGAGGAAATTGGATTTTTGATTCTCTAAGGCAAATTGTCTCTCTGATACAGATCTGGAGTCATTGGGAGGTATTTGCATGAGGAGATTATGTCACTTGAGGATAATGCTTTTGGTATATCTTCCTACATCACTGTAGAGGGGCAGAGCTGCATTTTAGGAGATGTAAAATGAAAGAATAGTTGGTTCCAAGGTGAATGGCTAACCGGCACTCTAAGTATATTTGCTTAAGTAAATTGGCAGTTATCTTTGCTGAACTTCTTTAATAACGGCAACATACATTTGAATGAGGTGTCGTGTGCTTTCTTTAATGCATATGAGTGTGTCTGATGTGTCATTGCCTATGAACAAAAATATGGCAGAAATACAGTCAGTTTGGGTACATGCTGCTCATTCTAGAGCCTTTGAAGTACAATAGGTAGGAGCAGATTAAATGTTAAAACATTCATCACTCCAGAGCTTGCCTACCCCTCAGGTTCTTGAAAGAGTATCTTCTTTATCCAGGCAGCTCATCTCTCTTCTTATGTTGCTATTACTAATGCTGGCAGTTTCCAAATGGGAGTTATACTAAGGTGACATCTGTTCTTATGTGTGCATTGAAATAGTTTATAATGAATCCAGAAACTGCAAAAAAATATTTCACAAAGTAAATATAAACAGGATGATGTACTGCCAACACTAATTATTCCAGATTTTTTTTTTTTTTGTATTTTACTTTAAAAGTGACTGCCTACACTTGTTGACTTACAATAGAAATTTCAGGTTTTGCATTTTCAAGTTTTTCTTTAGAAATGCAAAAACATGATGACTGTATATTGAGCTTCTTGTGCATCCAGTGTAACCTCAGGAGCTGAAAGTGGTAATCCTTCTCTCACGGCTATGTAGCAAGATTCATGAGATTTCTACGGGAAAGAACTCAACATTTATTTACTGGGAGTCTCTTCCTGGCATAAAGGGCGGCGGGGGGGGGGGGGAAATCTCTATGTAAAGAAGGGATTGAGAAGAAAAGAACAAAAGGGACATGCATAAAATGAACAGACAATTTTGCCAGAGGAAAAATCTTGAATAAAATATGGGTGAAGAGGAAAGAAAGAAATTATTTGGAACATTCTTGGGAAAGTGGGGCAGAAAAAGAGGAGCAGGGTACCTGGCTCCCTAGGAGTTTCCCAGCCTTCACATGCCATTTTTTATTATTACTTGTCTTTGACTTTTAAAGCTATACACACTTGGCTGCTTTGTATCAGAAGTGGGGACTGTATTTTGGAACTAAGTCTGAAATAATAATTCTTATAATTTATGGTTTGTCCTGTTGAAACTGTGTAATTGTAGGGCATAGCAAGAACAGAATGAGATAACTTTTGATTTTGGCAAACAGAACATTGCTACAAATATTGCAACAGTCACTGAAATTTCAACAGCCAGAAGGATTTACTATGACATAGCAAACACAAGGCCTGAGAAAAATGAACTTTGGAGGAGATAATGTATATGGGAAAATAAAGGAGGAAGCACTGTATTGCACTGTATAACATTGTACATCCTCTGCAAGGTATAAAACACTAAATTATAATTGTACTGTTGTGTAATTTATTCCATCAGATATATAGCAAATTGAATTTACTAGAGAAGTAGATTAAAGGGACAAGAGAACAGCCTTTTATGGGCTAAGAAATCAGCTGGAATGATGCACCCATTTTAGGACCTCTCTTTCGATGTTGAAACAGTGACAGAAATGTTGAAATTTTTAAAGATATAGAAGTTTTCTCTTCTTCTGTACACTTTTGTAGTGCAATCTATATCGATCCTATGTGGAAAGATTTTCATACCAGAAGTACACAGACACAGCATATTTCAGATTTTGTCTGAATACTAAATAAATAAAATTGTAATAATGTACACCATCTCAGCAAATTATATCTAGACTGATTTTTCTGAATGCAGGTATCTGTAGGGCTCCTGACTCAGACTGCTGGAAAACGCTTCAAAACTGCACACCAAAAAGTGGGTTGAGAAATGAAGAGAAATACCCAACTTGAATATAAATTCCAGAAACGGCACTGTATCTTTAGAAACACATTCCTGAAGGGAACAGCATCCTGTGTTTCTATGCTCGTGATTCCCATAAACTTGGGCGTCCCCCAAAGACATCAAGGCTGCTTTCTCAGCACTTTTTTTTTTTTTTTCTACCGTTTTCCAAATTGCCGTCTCGATCCTACTGAACAGCGACGGCAGCTCTTCTCATACCCCGCCCGGATTTGGTAAAATCCCCATGCCGACCCGAATGCTGCTTTCACCTCTCTACCCAAGACGGAAGAGACGCCCGTGACCCAAAAAAGCCGCGGGGGAGCCGGGGAGCCCCGCGGCCCCGCCTACGGCCGCCCGGGAACCGGCGGGAACGCGCGGCCCTGGGCCCGGGAGCGGGCGGGCCGCCGCAGGCCGCCGTTAACGGGGCCGGGGCGACGGCGGGCGCGGAGCCGCCCGCGTTTAAAGGCGCGGCGTGGGGCGCAGCCCGCAGGCACCGGGTCACCCTGGCGAGGCAGGGCCCGTGGCGCGGCGCGTGAGCCCCGCAGGCGTTCCACGGCCCCGCGCGGGGAGGGGCGGAGCAGGGCGGAGCGGCCGCCCCTCCCCTCCCGGGGCTCCGCCTCGCCCCGCCGGGCCGCGGCCCCGCGGCGCCTTCGCGCATGCGCTCGCCCGCGCCTGCGCAGCGCCCGCCGCGGGGGGAGCGGGCGGGGAGCGTGCGGCAATGGCGCAGGCGGGCCGCGCCAGCCTCAAGGAGCAGCGATACGATCGGCAGCTGAGGTAGCTCGGGGGCTGCCGCTGTCCTGGCCGGGCCGGGAGCCCGCTGCCACGGCGCCCGGCTCGGCCCCTCGCTGCCGGCTGTGCTGGGGGCCGCAGCCCTACTCCCGCGGCTCCGGGTGCCCCAGCAAGTGCCAGGCCGTCGCCGGGAAGGGGAGGCGAGGCGCGGCGCGGCGGGCGGCCCGGGGCTGCGGTTTGCCGGCCGGGCCGCTCGCCCTTCGCCCGCCGAGACCCCCGGGGGGCGGCCGGGCCGTGTCCGCTTGGGCGCGGGGGGAGCCGGGCGGGGGCGGGGGCCCGCGTCCCCGTGTCCCTGCCCGTCGGGCCGCTCGCTTGTCTGGCTGGCCGAGCGTCTGCGCGAGTGCTTGTGCTGGCACGGCGGAGAGAGAAAAGAGCGAAGTTAAATGAGAGAAGGGCGGTTTGTCCTGGAGGCAGTCGATTTTTGGAATGTGGCATGGCTTGATTTTCACACCCTCGCATACATTTAACAGTCTCAGTAGTAGCTTTAATGCGTTGCTGTGTCTGTTCAGTAAACTTACCTACCACAGCCTAGCTAACATTACTGCTCTTCTCACATCAGTGGGGCATTTGTGACCGAGTACAGTCAAGTCCACATTTCAGCTTGAACATTACTTGAAAAATGACTTAAATACATTACCAAACCTATTGAGACAGATTTTCATCTGCTTATACGTTTCAGTGTCATGTATTATAAATGATAAAAACCATATAACCGTGTTCTTTGTAACAAAACTTAAGAAAAAGAGAGCAGTTGTAGGACAATAAAGTGTTTTGAGCCATGCTGATTTTTAAGAAGCTAAATATGTTACAGCAGAAAAAGATGTCTACGTTGAAATGGTGTAGAGTATAAAGATGGAGACAATGAAAAGTCAGTAAAACTGAGTTGCTCTTTAGGAAGCCTCAAGTTTGCCACAGTAAGTTTTCTTGAGGAAAGATTGTTTTGGTTACTGCTCTTTAGCTCCTCTTGACAGTGAATAGAAAGTAGAGTGCTAGCCTCAATTTCTGCTTGTTAATTTTTTAAAATGTCTTTATATTGGCTTTAATTGGCTTTACAGTTTAAAATGAAATAACTTCATGATGTTTTGGTTTCCATCCTAATATAGATTGTGGGGTGACCACGGACAAGAAGCTTTAGAATCTGCCCATGTTTGTGTGATAAATGCAACAGCAACAGGAACTGAAATACTCAAAAACTTAGTGCTACCAGGTAAGTAGATATCTCTTCTGTGTTTCCTTTGTAATGTATCTGACAGTTTCATAATGACTAGATGAGTTCATAATGCATAGTAATTTTTTTCCCCCCCAAGGTATTGGTTCATTTACAATTGTCGATGGGAATCAGGTCTCTGGAGAAGATGTTGGAAATAAGTAGGTTTGTTACTAGTTTCTGATACAAATTGAGAAATAACAGTGTTTCATAAATAGTTCTGTGAAATTCTTAATAACTTTACAGGTCTCTATATGTTTCTCAAAGTCTTTTGTGGTTTTGGATGTCTGTGATACACAGCATTTACGATAATTTTGATATTAGCTGCAAAATTTTACATAGTTTTCTTAATTGCTGGTTTTGTATTGTACAGGTTTATTTGCTTCATGCATCAGTTTCATAAAGACAGTGGTCTACTTAGTATAAAAATACATTAAAATTACTTGTTTGCTGTAATCTTTAGATATGACAATGCGAGATTTGCTTGTGTTTCATAATTTTCCATAATTTTGGTGATGAAAATAACTCAGTTTTCATTAGTTTATCATTGTGAAACTGTGACTCATAGCCGTTTATTAGCTTTCATACCTCTGAAAGGCTGTGTGGTGCAGGGGAAGGGATAAGAAACACTTTACAAATACTATAAAAAGTAATTTTTTTGCTACTTCTAGATCACAGTCTCTTATGGTTCAGGTAGATACTTACAAATATCTGTCTACTTAATGAGGTTATATGAGGGAGAAGGATATTCCATTACATGAAGAAGTGAGTACTAATGGATCTTTAATTAGCCCAGTGAAAAAGAATCTGCCCTGTGATCCTGGCTTCTAGAGGGCTTTGGCATGTCTTATTTTTCAGATTTATGGCTCAGGCATTGGAAAAGTTCCTTACGAAACTGACTCTGAGGAAAATATAACAGTGATGGGGAGGAGAAAATCAGATTTAAGGGGGAACTTGGTTTGTTGTATATGACAGTCAGCAAGATATTCTGCCCTACAAAATGAAGATGTAATGTTTTGGGTTTTTTTAAATAAATGTTCACATGTAATTCTTTTGTCTCCTTTTCAGTTTCTTCCTACAAAAAAGCCATATTGGTCAGGTAAGGAGATAACAAATGTCACGTTAGATCTATTGAAAGCATAAATACTCAAATGTAATATTATAAGTAATGCTAAAAACATGTATGGATAGGTTAAAATCTGTTTATTCTTTGACAAAACTCCCCATGCTTATTTTTTAGTTGCTCATAAGTGAGAAGATAAGATCAATTCCGGCAAGACTGAATGGAAAAAATGAACCAGATATGGTTGAGAAAATCTTTGGAAGGATCAAGTGAAAGAGAATTGTGGTTGAAGTAGTAAAGGTGGATGGGGGAAGAAAAAAAATCACAAAACCAAGAGAGTACAGAAGGCATAGATAACTCATAGAATTTACTAAGTAGTAGTTGTCACATAATTCTTGGTTTTAGAATGAGATTACTAAAAATGGTCTCAAACATGTGGCTGCTGTTCAGGGATGTATTTTTTCTTTAAACAAGGCTTGAAATAAGAAATCCTACCTTATGATGAAGTCTTTTGTTCTCTTTTTTTTTTTTTTTCTTTAAGCATGTAGCATGTGTGGTACTGATATACTATCTAAAATACATTTCAAGAGGTTAAACATTATTTTGATTGTTCTGAAACAGAATCGTGCCCAGAGTGCCACTGTGCTTTTGCAAGAATTGAATAATGATGTTTCTGGAAATTTTGTCGAAGAGGTTTGTTTTCCTAAATTACTTGTACATTTTGTGTGATACAATGTGATAAAAGTATGAAATAAGAGATATGTGTTGTCTTTGTAATGTTGCATTTTAAGTAGCATCATGATAAAACAACATTTGAGGAAGAAGATCTGAAGTTATTTGCAAAAGTCAGTTTACTTATTTTAAACATTATTTTATAACTTCCTGATAGTTTTATAGCTTTCACTTGTCCCTTTACGTACAGTGTTGAAGAGACTTGCTGTGTATTTAGAAATTTTCCCAGTGTTTCCTGATTATCTTTTTTTCCTACTACTTAGAGTCCAGAAAAACTTCTAGACAATGACCCTTCCTTTTTTAACCGGTTCAACTTGGTGGTTGCAACACAACTACCAGAAAGGTAAAGAATCATCTAAAATTGTGTGTGTGTTGGTGTTCATTCAGTTGTAAAAGCAGATTTCAACTGCAGGCATATTGTAGCAGGAAAACTTAGGCAAAACAGGTGTCTGTCGTTGTGAAGGAAGGTTATAGTAAATGATGGCATTTTTCTATGGACCTTTTTATATGTTAATACATAGTTTAAAATCTCTTTTCAGATCCAATCCTGCCTCTTAGGTGCTGTCTTCAGGTGTATTTGTCTATGCCAAGTACTCTTTTGTAGTGACAGTTGTTTCTGGTCCAAAATCACTGTAATAAGTATTCTTCTTATGTAAACCCTAACAGATGATAGTCTGTGATACCTCTAGATTTTTACGAATGTATTTTATCCATCGTATAACCATTTCCATTTTACCCATGTATGTAATTATATTGCCCATATAAACTTTGTCAAGACCAGAATTTCTTAATTTTTTTTTTAATTTCTTCCTGCTGGGAGGCCCCTTGCATGCTGCCTTCCAGTGAACAGTACGGATGAAAAATGACAACTCTCAGTATTGAGACACTTGGGGGGAGAAGAGCATGCTTCTGTTTCAGTAGCAAGCTCCCTCACCAGAGGCAAGAGGTTGCTGGATAGATGAATAGTTAAATCTTGCTTTTGTAAGGAGATGATGGCTGTTGATGCTTCATATATTTTCTCCCTCCCCTTACTTAATAGGGGAACTAGGGGTATTGTGTGTTACAGAAGTAAGAGCCACCTTGCCGGGTTGAACTGCTGATGGCTTTGTAGGCATTTGTGAATAAAGAGTATGTATTCTGTGCTGTTCAAAAACCTCTGATTGAAATTGCCCCTACTGGAAGTTATGTTTGTGCAATGCACAGATCTAATTCTTATTTTCTTTCTTTCACAACTCCTTGAAGTTTTTTTGCTTAATTGATCTTTGGAGCATTTGGGAGGATGGAGTTAAACATAAATAAGCTAATGGATAAATATA